TTACTGATGTAAGGATAGACATATAGATCAAGTGAATAGAATTGAGTCCAGATTTTACTCTCACTTTTACGGTCCATTGATTTTCAACAAGGGTGATAAGGAAAGAATAACCTTCAACAAATGGTGCTAAGACAACTGGACATCCATAGGTAAAAGAATGAAATTGGACCCCTACCGCACACTGTATACAAAAATTAACTCATGCTATATGTAACAACCTAAAAGTAAGAGCCAAAGTAGAAAATTATCATAGGCATAAATTTTCATGAGCTTGGATTAGGCAATGATTTCTTAGATATAATACTAAAAGCCCAAGAAACAAAAGAAAAAATAGATAAATTGGATTTCATCAAAATTAACAGCTCTTGCTCTATGAAGAACACCATGAAGAAAGCTGAAAGGCAATCTAAAGAATAGGAGAAAATATTTGCAAATCATATATTTTATAAGGGATAAAGAACTCTTACAACTCAATACAACAGAAAAATAAGCCAATTAAGAAAGTGGGTAAAGTTTTCTCAGGAAAATATACAAATGGCCAATAAGCACGTGAAAAGATGCTTGGCATCATTAGTCACCAAGGAAATGGAAATCAAAACTACAATGAAATACCGCTTCACAACCACTAGGATGGCTATAATAAAAAAGGTAAAAACAAGTGTTGGTGAAATTGGAGCTCTCATACACTGCTCATAGGAATGTAACATGGTGGAGCCATTTTGGAAAATAGTCTGGCAGCTTCTAAAAACGTTGAACATAGAGTTATCATATTGCCCAGCAATTTGACTTCTAGGTCTGTATTCAAGACAAATTTTTTTGAAAACATATGTTCACACAATCACTTGTACATGAATGTTCACAGCAGCAGTATTCATAATAACCAAAACGTGGATACAACCCAAATGTCCACTAACTGATGAATGAATGAAATGTGGTATATCCACAGAGTGGGATACTATCCAGCCGTAGACAAGAATGAGGTACTATACACGCTACAACATTGATGAACTTTGAAAACAGGATGCTGAGTGAAAGAAGCCAGTCACAAAGGACCACATTTTGTATGATTTCATTTATATGAAATGTCCAGTTTAGGCAAATCTATAGAGACAGAAAGTAGTTTTGTGGTTTCCTAGGGCTGGGAGTTTGGGGAGAAATGGGGAGACTGCTAATGGGTATGGGGTTTCTTTCGGAAGTAATAATATACTAAAAATCACTGAAGTCTATACTTTAGGTGAATCACATGGCATATGAATTTTCCCTCAAAACTGTTATATGTTAAGGTAAAAGATAATTATGTTTAATTTGTGTAAAATACAGTAGTCCTCTTGTATCCGCAGTTTCACTTTCTGTAGTTTTGAGTTACCCATGGTTAACCACTGTCTGAAAATATTAAGCGGAAAATTCTAGAACTAAATTCATCAGTTTTAAATTGTACACCATTCGTAGTAGTGTGATGAAATCTCATGCCATCCTGCTCTGTCCCACCCAGGACGCTGTGTCACATTGCCTGCATCATTCCCTTCGCTTCATCTCCTCACGTAGGCATTGTATCATCTCACGTTATACAAGAAGGATGAATACAGTACAAGAAGATATTTTGAGAGAGGGAGACCACATTCACTTTTATTCCAGCATGTTGTTATAATTGTTCTATTTTATTATTAGTTATTGTTGTTAATCTCTTACTGTGCCTAGTTTATAAATTAAACTTTATCATAGGAAGACATATGTATAGGGAAAAACGTAGTACATAGTTTATATAGGGTTCAGTACTATCCATGGTTTCAGGCATCCGGTGGCGGTCTTGGAACGTATACCCTGTGGGTAAGAGGGCATTATTGTGTGTTCATTCCTATTTTGAAGTTATTAAAATGTCCTAGAAATCAGTTCACAATTCCCTAGTGCTCTGGGCTTCTCTGGAGAAGTGGTTCAGGGCAATATAGACTATTTTTAGCCTTAAGTAATTAGATGAAGAGCTAAAGTCAGAACATGGTAAAACTCCTCTCCTTTCTCTGTTTCTGGTGAAATGGGGCCTGGCTCTGGGCTCAGCTACTGCAAGTGGCCAAATAAGTGAGCACTGAATTTTATAGCAAGAAGGGACTCTAGGGACCTTCTAAGAAATACCACACGAAAAACTGTCTAGTGTAGATTACCCCAAAGCAAACTCTGAGAAAAGGACTTGGGTTCCGGTAATTTACTTGAGTGGTGAACCCAGGAAGAACAGGTGAGTAAGTGGAGAAAGTAAGACATGGAAGGAAGAAAAGCCAATAAAAGTGTCATTAAACATAAGTTGCCAGGGTGGGCTATTGGGGTTCAATCCTGCTGGGGATGCTCTGTAACGACAAGTAGAATATGCCTCAAAACTGCCCCACAGGAGTACAGGGAGACTGAGGCATCTATGCACTGGCTCCCATCTCCCTGTGGTTGGGGACTGGTCTGGAGGAGTTAATTCTCTCACACTTCTGGGCTGTCTGCCTGCTGTAGAACCAGCTTCTGCTGAAGAAATCCTTCAGGCTTAGAAAAAGAGAGATGCAGATGCTTGAGGGGGAAGCTGTCAGCTTTCTGGGACGGGTCCTGCAGCTATAAGTGAGCTCGGGGCGGGGGGTGGGGGGGGGGGGAGGGGGAGGGCGGCTACAGGGTGGGGAAACAACATCAACTACAGTGTCTTGTGATTAAACAAACAATAGCAACAGCATCTCACCACTGCCCTGGCTCAGAAGGGAATTTCCAAATGGCTCTTCCCGCCCTACCTTGATTAGGAGGAAAATTTCCCTTCCTTACCATCACCCCACAAAGTGACAAAGTCCTTTTTTGATCTGTGGGGCTGATGAGCTTCTAGAATTTTCACTACTGGCTTGTCTACAGGAGATGGGTCCATGTGGAACAGAGGAGGGGTCTAGGCAGAGTCTCATGGGTAACAACAAACCTCACTTCCATCCACATGCTCAACTGTCCATGGGTTGGTCCCTGGCAGTTTGTGGGACACCCATAATGAGAGAAGAGGGACATTTGGCTGGTTCAGATTCAATTTCCTCATAGCTTCTGGGTACATCACGGGTACTTGCTTCCTTATCACAGTTCTCAGCTTCTTTTCACCTTATTGAGTCTTAGTGAGAGAACTCATTCTGATAACTTGAATCCAAGTCTCTCTGTACCATTGACCCACTGATTAGTGGTAAAACACTAATCACACAGATTAATGCTTGGATACACAAATTCTACCTCTCAAGATTAGGAAATGCCAACTTAAAGCCAAACAAGCTTCCTTAGTATAATATTTCTCACAGCCTTCAGCATGCCTATGAGCTTTGACTCTCTTCAAGGAGAGAGTTAAAGTTCGCATTATTTCCCTAAATTAAATGGCCAGAAAAGAGTTTTTCACAGAGCATTTCATGGAACAAAAGTTCTACAGAATACACTTAGAGAAACCCCGGCATAGCCCAGTCCATTCATTTAACTGTTGGGGTCCAGAGAAGCAAAGTGACTTCCTTTAGTTATGCTGTGAGTTACTGATGGAGCCAGAGCCTGGACCCAGACCTCCCATCTCTCAGGTGCCCTTAGTTCAATGCCAGGATGATGGTCATGGGTTTACCCATGATGGACAGCTTGTGAATTGTCCTGGCTCTTTTTTTTGTGCATTAGAAAAATGTCATCCTGCTTCAACATCTAAGCCAGAGGAATGAAATATTTGTATCATTCCCATGATCCGGAACTGTCAACTAGTAGGAGAAGAAGTTAATAAAAACAAGGAAAAAGTGAGTTAATACCCAGGCCTGCTGGGTGTGACAGAGGTGGCTAGCTGTCTAGCAAAACTTCATGCTCCCTTCCTCCTATAGGTATGTGAACTCTGCAGCCAGCTATGGCCATACGATGAGTTCTCACAAGTGGGATTTTTAAGCAACAAGGATCCTTTCTCCACTCTCTCTTGCCCCTTCTACTGGCTGGATGCTGAGGACTCTGAGGCCCCAGGGAATGGCAAAGCCATACAATAGAAGGAGATCTGAGTTCTGAACCTGCATGTGGAGGGAAGCACTGGCTTACCTGGGAAGACTCTTACATAAGCAAGAAATAAAATGCTATTGTGGTAAACCACTGAAAGTTCTGGGTTTGATATAGCAGTTCACATTGTCCTAGTTAACATACTGAGAGATGAAAGAAAATCTGGAGCAAAAGAAGAGATGAGGGATGTCAAAAAGCATGAGATGATGGATTCAGAAATTTGGGGACACAGAGCAGTTCCATTTAGCAATTAGAAAGAACCTGGATCAAAACAGATCAGCTTTTATTCCCAGGGACTGAGGGGGCTGGCACAGGCACAGCATCCCGGACACCATGGCCGCCCTCAGCCCATCTTCATTCAATCACTAATCACATCGCCTCATTAAGCATTCCTCATAGAATCGACTTCTCTCCATTCCCACTGCCAGCACTCCAGGCTGAGTCATTATCTTTTGGCTGGTTTACTCCAAATACTCTCTAACTAGTTCTATCTTCTGTTAGCTCCCCTGCTCCTGTGCCCTTCATGAATCTGTTTTCAATGCTGTAGTCAGAAGCATCTTTATAACACACAAATCAGATTATGACCAACATGCCCCACCAGCCAGCTTGAACCCCTTCAATTAATTCCCAGTGTGATTACCATAAAGTCCCAACCGCTTTGCATGATACACACGGCCCTGCATGACACTCCTCCTTCTCAGCTCTCACCTCCCTGGCCTTTGGACTCTTTTCTCCAGCCATTCTGAACTTCTTTTGGCTTCCTGAGTGGGTCTTGCCTCTTAGCCATCGTACAGGATACTCCCATTTCCTGAAATGTCCTTGCCCCCTCCTTTCTCACAGTTTGACTCTCACTCAACTTAGCTGTCACCTTTTCTTCCTTTTTTTGGTGAGGAAGATTGTTGCTGAGCTAGCATAGGTGCCAGACTTCCTCTGTTTTGTATATGGGATGCTGCCACAGCATGGCTTGTAGAGCGGTGTGTAGGTCCGCGCCATGGATGCAAACCTGTAAACCCCAGCTGCCAAAGCAGAGCACCTGAACTTAACTACTATATCATCAGGCTGGCTCCACTGTCACCTTTTCTAGGAAAACACACTCTCAGACTGTAATAGCCTCTTATTTTCTGTTTAGTCCCTTTCCCTGTCCCCTTCCCTGCCCCTGTCAAAGGACATTCATGCTCTAATTGTGTGCTTATCAGTGTTCTCCATTAGAATGATCTTTGAGGGCAAGAGCACCTCCTTCACCATTGAATCCGAGCACTTCTCGGTTACTTGGCACAGAGCAGGTGCTCTAGAAATACTTCTTGAAGGAATGGATGGGGGTGGGGTGGATGGTTGGGATGGATGCTTATTCTGTATGAGCCTAAGAAAAAGTTGTACATACAGCAGTAAGCAATGTTAGTTAACTATTAGTGGAAATAGGATCACTTTTTTTCCCCGTACATTTATTTACTTAACTCTGCTTCATAAATGTCTTTTAGCATACAATATTCCAAAGTTGCTGTGTTTGGCTGTTTTAGAAGATTTAATTGATTAATTTTGTTTGTTTATTAACATGCATAGACAAACCAGCACATCTCACTCATTCTCTGCAAGCCAGGATTTGAAGAAACCTGGCTTTCCGGTCATGAGGAATGAAGTAGACACAGGGTTAAGATCTTGGCTCCACAGTCAGTGATGGCTGGTTGAGTCCTGCCATAAGACTGACCAGCCGTGTGACCTCAGGCAATGACATAATGTGTCTAGAGTCCTTAGCAGAGTGTCTGGTACATAATAAGAACTCAACAACTGGTAGCAATAATTATTGTTGTATTTGCCACAAAAATTAATACTAATTTTGTCATTATCCTGCCCTAGTATCGTCATCAGATCATGACTAAGGCCACTGGGGGTTTGTACACTGTGTGCAGGAAAAGCAACCAACAAAGACCAGCCCTAATGAGGTCATTGGAGAAGACTGAATTCTCCTCATTGGACAGACAAGGAAACCCACAGTCAGCAGGGTGAGGAGACCTGCTCCTAGTCACGTAGCTCATAAGGGCAGAGCCAAGACTCATGCCAGAACTTCTGATTCCAAAGTCAGTTCTCTTTCCACTACACTGCACGGCCTCTGGGCGTTAGCATTTCCAGGACCTACAGGCTTCCAGGTGTCTAAGATCAAATAGGACTCAGGATTCCAAATAAGCACCCTGGGACTGACTGTTCCCCTCCCTTCATTCATAGGTGCTTGAGATTGCGGGCCCCCGGGGCATTCTGCCCAGGCTGCAGCGTTCACGGATGTGGCTCCTCTCCACAGGCTGCCCTCTGCCAAGGGGACAGACCGGCTCCCACAGAGACCAAAGCGTCCTTTTACAGAGTAGCTGCTGCATCTCCCTGGGGACTGCGCTGGGAATGCCAGCTACCCCCTACACTCCAGAAGCCCCCTGCTTGGTAGGTGTGTACCATGGAAACTGAATACACATCACTTGAGTGAACATCAGGGTGTGCTACATCTCTGAAGTCCAGTTCTCAGTGCAAACTGCCGAAGGAGAGAATACATAAAGTACTCAGAATGTCATAGATTGTCCGAACTCGACAAGAACTGAGTGAGGCCTCATCTTTCTCTGAACATTTATTTTGTAGAGGAAGAAATCTGGCCATAGAAAAGGGCAAGAACAAACGGATTAGGGGTGGAGGGTCTCCAGAGTCCCACTCCACTGTCCTTTTCATCACATGAACATACGGCTTCTGGAGCATCATCATAATTGGATACCCTTTATGGAGAAGGGCTGCCTCAGACATACAAACCTGCTTAGGACATTTACCCTCACCATGGGGAGCCGTTTTTGACATGGGCTGTCTTTAGTGATCTGGGATACTTCTTCAGGATGGGACAGTTAGTGGAGAGTGGTTCTTTCTTTGAGGGCTTTGTGCTACAGAAGCCCTAGGAGAGGCCACATAGAGGTGTGGACAATTCTAGAGCTGTTTCAAGAATGGTGCTCATCACTTGTTTTTCCATATTCCATATCCCAGGAAAGTGGCTGTGAGCCATCCAGTTGCAGGGACTAGCTCAGAGTGGGATTGAGAATGAGCACTGCCCCAGGCACCTGCCTTCCCCAAAGCCTATTAAGCTGAAAGGGACCAAGCTGGGCGGATGAGTTCCTCAAAGCTTGGAAGTCTTCCAAATCCTATTGGATTTTGTTATATATAAGATATTGTTGTCTCAGAACCTCACAGCGGGTCCCTGAACCAGGATGTGCTCCAAGCAGACAGACAGAAGACATATCTAAGTCCTCTGTTCTTCACAGTGTCCCATCTTCTAGCTCCACTCCCCGTCCTAAATCAGGGACAGGCAACTCTCTACAGCATGGCAGTGCTGTGCCAGAGGACTTTAGGATATCTGTCCATTGCAGACAACCATTCACAGATAATGGAGAGCTGAAAGAGGACCCAAAGGGGAAAATTGCCATATCTTGTGAGTGTATTGAATTCCATCTCATTTAAGGCAGGAGACAGTGCTTTTTTATTCTTAAGGCTCCATTATCCTCTTTGATACTTAGTATATGGAATAGTCCAAATAAACAGCTGACGAATGACTTGGCAAATGAATGAAGGAAGGAACAAAGTGTGTGTTTGACTTAAGGAGTAAATGCATGGACTATTGAGAAAATACATAAGGGAATTGCAAAACCTTGATAATGCATGCATAAACTTACATGAATTCTGTGCTGGAGAAAGAAGTTCATCTGTTTATGTAATTCTTATTGATACAGCATTCCCTCTTCTGTTCTTTACTCTCTTGAACTCTGTAGAACAAGGAACCTTTAGCTATTTTGTTCTCTGAACGTTTGGGCAGGATTAAAATAACTTTTTAGTGTATCTCTTTGATTTCTCCAGCCAGTCACACATTTGTTCCCAATCTAGAGCCTAAATGAGCTATTTTTCACTTCAACTCTCAGTGTCCTGTCTGTTGCTAACACCTGGTCTTGTCATCGCACTATTCCTTAACACCCTGGTGGAGAAAAGGCAGACTGGAAGCAGACAGCGAAGTGGTGAAGCCGGGTGGGGCACCCTGGAGGCAGACAGCCCTGGGCCCTGGAGTCCACCATCTAACAGAGTGGCTTTGGATGAGTTCCCAGCCTCTGAATAACAGTGGAACATACATTGTGAATGTGATTATAAATAATCATGCAGAAAAGTACTTTGCATCAGGTCTATCACACAGTGAATGCTCAATAAATTTTAGTTATCATTATATTATATTGTATTATATCATATTTGATATCATGTTGTATTATATATAGCGGTAGTGTATTGATTGTGGCCTTGTAAAACCAGTGCCTATGGGTATGTTGACCAAAGTCACATCCTCCATACAGATCTCCACTAATCACTTTCTTAAATTTCTTCCCCAGATTCAGAACACTCTTTATTTCTCTCTTATGTACATCCTAAAAGTGGAACCCAGTGCTCTTCAAGGAGGAAAATCTACTTGCTCTTCCCCTGGAACAACATTCTGCTGAACCTGTGGCTGGGCCACCCTGTCCTTCCCAAATGCGTCCTCTGCTTCCTGTCCAGGAGAAGCCACTGGAGTTCAGAGTCCAGACAGGAATCCTGTGTTTGAGGAGTGAAATCCACTTTCAATCTCCTTTGTTGACCTGACTTTCACCCTTCCCCAACAGCATTCCAAACTCCCACTCACATCAACAAGCTGTATTTTTAAAAGTTGGTTGGAATTGTGAAAGCTTAAGGTTACGAGAGCTCAAGGATACGGCCAAAGCTGAGTCTGACAGCTTATTTTACTGCCCGCACTGGGGCAGTCAAGGCCAGGGCAGTGTCAGTGAAAGTCCAGGGTTTTCTAGTGGCCATGGGCTTTTGGTCTTATGCAAGAGAAGGGAGGTAAAGCTGAAAACACATCATCGAGTTAGAGAAAATAGGTACATTGACTGGCACCACTCTATGCTCAACACAGTGGCAAACACACCTGGTTACCTTCTCTTTCCATCTTCAAGTTATAGGATCCCCATTTCTAGGGGGTGGCAACATGCTCAAGGAAGACGGAACCCTTCTCTCAGCCTAAGAGAATGAAGCATAATTGGCTTACAACATATGTGGCAATTCCATTCCCTTCTTCCCATGATTAACTTGGGAGTAAACATGTGACCCAGTTCTTGACCAATGAGACCAAAGGAGCAATTTGTTGCTGGTTCTCAGAAGATTTTTGTTTTTTGGTACAAAAAGAAACAGCAAGTTTCTTCCCACCTGACTTGAATGCAATTGGGTGAGAATATGGTTCTTGGAGCTACAGCAACCATTTTGTGATATGAGGCAACAAGCCAAAGGGCACAGGATAAAACAGTGAAAAGACAGAACCTGTGGTTTTTGAGAATATCATTAAACTACTGAACCAATCTGGAACTGTTTTCTTCTAGACTTTCATATTTGTGAGATGATTAAAAATTTCTGTTGTTTTAGCCACTATTTCTTTTCTGTTACTTGCAGCCAAAGACATCTCATGTGATACAAATAATATCTAATTTGTGTTGTAATTTATCTATTTTACATCTGTTGATTCTGTCTTATTGACTTTTGTATTTTTAGCATTGAAGGTGATCCTGGCGTTTATTAAGTCTTCAATAAAATGCCTGTTGAAAAAGGTTTTTAGGTGATAAATCTTCTGAAATTGCTGAAGCAGGAAGATCAGGTTCTGGTTTTAGGTCCTATAAATGTCTTCATTTCTGTCTGATCCTAACTTTACTGGGGCCAAAGAATGATTAAGAAGAAGTATGAAAAACCACTGGTATTGTGGCTACTGCTAAGAATTCTCTCTTGAGAATTCTCAACAATGCCCATCAGCCACATTTAGAACTCTCTAGTGATCGACCTTTTTGAACTTAAATCGGCATATATAATCAATGGAATATTTAAATTGGTATTGTCCTAAAAAATCTAGGACATGTGTTTTTTACCTTTAGTAACCATCTATGTAACATCTCTTATCTACCAGGCACTTTATGATGCACTGGGGATGAAGAGACAAATCACCACACAGCCCCTATCCTTGAAAAGCTTACAGTGACAAAACAGGGTGTTACAACCTAAATAGAGGTATTACAAGGTAATATATCCAGCCCTCTTAGTATAGCATAATACTACCACTGAGTTAATTAAGAAAATCAGATTCCTAGGCACATCTCTTTGATGAGATAGTGTCCATGAAAACTTCCCAAGCTTGGTTCTCCCCAGTTGAGTTTATTTTTGGGGTGACTTTCTGCTGTCATCACCCAAGGTCCTCAACATTTACCCCATATGCCCCAGAGGCACCCCTTGCCCAGAGTGCACCCTCTGCATGGTTCACCCAAAGCAGTTCTTTCAAGGGAAAAACAGGTTGATAATTGGGTGAAGATTTGGGGGCCACTTCTCTAGGTGGAGGGGATTATGAGTAGCATCTTGCTTTCCTATGAGTCAGCAAATATAAAGAAAATACGCAGAAGATCCCATTCTCCTTCTTAGCTGACCGTGATTTCCGAACAAGGCCGGAGCTCTTGTGCTCAGCATCTCTGGCCCATCAGCCTCAAGGGCACCTCTCAGTCCTGCATGGAATATCAGTGCACAGAAAAAACAAACTTAGAGTTATTAATTTCTGCACTGGTCTGCCTTTTGTAGAAATTGCCAGAAACTGGCTTTTCCATCCCTCTTTCCTAACATATGAGGCCCCCTGCCATCCCTTATACATCTTTTCCCCCCTCTCCTGATGTCCAGTCATCAAGTCTTTAGGGGTACCCTGACCTCTGGTTGCCTCAGCTATATTTTTTCTTCTTCAAGACACATTGGTACCCAGAGCTTGACCGCTTGGGAAAGCATATCAGCTTCTCCACTTAGAAGCTGTGGGATTCAAGTTAGTCTTACTCCCTTTGCCTCAGTTACTACATCTGTAAGATGGAGATTTACAACCTTTCCTCCCAGAGCCACCATCAGGGGCTTCCAATTTGCTGACTTGGATCACCAAGCCCCTCTTAGCTGACCTCCTCCTGCAATTGCTCACCATCCGGACTCATGGCTGTGGAACCACAAGCAGAACCAGCACTGTATTTAAGACTCATTCTGCATTGCATTTGTGCACTTTGTGATAAGTCATCAAACCGTGTACTGATTGTGTCTTTTTTCTGTATGTATGTTATACTCTAATAAAATATTTACTTAAAAATTTTGCATTTATGTTAAATCCACTTGACAAGGCTTACTTTCTCATCTGCTCTTTTTCTCTCTTTCTCTCAAAATCAAAAAGATTACATACATATACATAGTCATTTTAGAAAAATGACATAGAACAAGAATAAAAATTTAAAGCTATCGATTCCCATTCCCAGCACCCAAGAACAACTACTGCTGATATTTTAGAAGATATATAGCAATTTTTTTACCAAAAAAGTAAAATCAGATGTTAATACTGTTTTATAACCTTTTAAATGTAATCTACCTGTAAATTCCAGAATATTATTTTTAAAGGCTGCATTATATGTCACTGAATGGGCGTGGCACCATTATTTAACCCATCCTTAGTGTTAGGGGTATAGATGGTTCCAGTATTTAGCAGTGTTGCTATGAAACAGCTTTGGGGCTAAAATCATTGCACTGCAGCAGGGTTTTGTTCAATTCACATTTCAATTATTTATACCACTCTTTTCAACCCAGTTTCAGTTTCTCAGTCTATGAAGGAATTCAGAATTGCTTTATTATGTGCTACATCTTCTGGACTTTCCTTCTGACAGATTTAATTTCACTGAAATAAATAACGGCCTTAATGCAGCTGTTCTCAAAGATACGATGGGAAGGGACAGAGGCACTTTGGGTCACACGTCCCATTTGCTGGAGTAGGCAGGAACAGGGGTCTCCCTCAAAGACCCCTGGCTCGCTGGGGGCTGATGGTGTTCAGAAGCCCTGTTCCGGCTCACAGAGGTATTTGCTTTCCGAGCGTTATTTGCAGTGTTTCTATAGTGGTGCTAATGACTGCAAATTGCTAATGGCTGCGAAAAGCTAATTGTTGTGCAAGGTGTTTCTGCTCTCCCCCAACCACCGGGAGAGCTCACAGTCACGGTTAAACAGAGATCTCATTAGCATCTCCGACACAGTCCTCAAGGGGAACCCTCCCTGCAGCCTGGCAAATAACCAAGCTTCCTCTGCACACCCAGAGCCAAGAGGCTCTGCGCCTGGCCAGCAACAGAAAGCATGCAGGCAGAGATTTAAGAAGCTCTTCCCATGAGGAAACAAAGGAAGTGGGATGCTATGTGTCATGCTTCAGCCGGAAAACCAAAGAAACGGGGAGGATGCGGCCTTGGAGGCGAATCTCCCCAGATAATAACAATATGGTCGCTGGAGTGTGCCAGGCACCATGCTAAGTGCCATGTGGCTTTTTCTCTTTTAATCATTCCCACTTTTCAGAGGACTGCAATGAGGCTCTGAGTAATAATTTTCCCGCAAATCCTCTAGCAGCTTATAGATCTAGGATGTGACTCTGAACTTTTTTACTCTAGAGACCAGATTCTTAACTGCAGTATAATTGTACTTCTTGAAAATTGTGGGCCAGCTTCTGGCCACGCTGGAGTGTTTATGTGTGAATGCATGCACGTGTGTGCCTGTGTCCACGCATGTGTGCATTTGGAGAGAAAGAATTTCAACACTAAAATTAATTCATCATATTCCATGATTATAAAAGGGGAGCTGGTTAAAAAACAAACCAACAACATCCTCACATTGGCTGATGAATGATGAATGTTTCTTCCTATGAGCTAAGGCGCCGTGTCGCCCTCTGCCTCCACTGAACTCCTGTACCCTAGGCTATCCATTTAAAAAGTCTATTCTGTTATTGCCTATTTCCCTGTCCTTTGAGCTAAGGTTAACAATTTACCTAAGAAGGCAAACTTAGGCACAGTAAGGCTTGTTTGAATTCGTAGTGTGGCAAGTTTCCCAAACCCTCTCCCTACCTCTCTAGGGACTCAGAGTTACTCAGCTGGAGAGCAGAGTTTCAGACCGCCCACCCCTGGCCCCAAATTTTAAAAATGTATCCTTCAATATCCACCTTCCTTTTCTCAGGCACTATAGCAATATGTTGCTTTGAGCTGGTAATTTCACGTGGAAAATTGTGCTTTCAATTTTGTATGACTTTTTCAAAAAAATTAAATTGACAGCAATAGAAATTGATAGAGAAGCCATGTCTGGAATTGCCAGGATGACCATTTGTTCGAGTTCAGGCTACACACTCTTTGAGAAAACAAAGCAGAGAGTCCAGTGGGTCTGCTAACACGGGATGGAGGGAAGAACATTGAAAAGCAAAGGACTGCCATTTATAGTTGGGGGACAGGTTGCCTGGGCAACACAGAGATGAGGGATGAAGGACTGGCTTCACCTGCCATCCTTCAGTCCTTGTCCTTTCTCTCTTCCTCATTAGCTTAACAGAGATAGTAGTTGCCTACATTGGCTTGACTATTAACAGGGCAAAGAACTGGCATTGAAGGAATGTTAAACTCTTAACCAACTCAATTCAATAATGAGGTTTGATGTGAGCCAAAAAATTAACTACAACAAAAGAGTCTGTATTTTTCCCAGCACCTCACGAAGTGACATGTGCTGATTGCAGCTAATAAACTATCCCTGACATAATTATTCCAAGCAGATGACTTAGCGTGGTAAGAGAACTGGATGCAAACGATGTGATCTGAAAGTTAAGAGAGAACATGAATGAGAAGTTGCCTGGAGTGGTAAGAAAATGGTTCCTTCATAGAGTTCATCCTCCCTGATGCTATCAGGTCTCAGTCTACGATAGGTTATTTCCGCACAAGTTGAGCACAGAACAGCTCCTGTCATTCCTGTTTGTCATCATGGGCTGAAGCAAAATGAGGACAGCTTACTTCCAGAGTTGCTGAGCTGACAATTGCCAACAGCTGTCACCCCCTGGGTTGAAAGGACAAGACTGTCATGTGAGAAGGCCCCTCCCTTGCTTGTATTTGGGAAGTAGAAGGCCTTCCTGCACCAGCTGAGCTCACAGCTGGCGTAGGAGCAAGAGTTTGAAAATGACTTCAGTAAACTGGATACATCCTTGTGGTTTCTTTTTGCTGGAGATTGGGGTAAGGCCAAACACATTCATGATTCCCAGAACATTCCCAGAAGAACATCCCCTTCCCACTGTGTAAATGAGAACCATTTAGGAGAGAATTATTAGCAATCTCCTACCAAAATCTGTTCTCCTCCTGAATTTCTTTTCTTGGTGAAAGGCTTTACTCACTGTCATTAGCCTGAGCCAGAAACTCAGCAGACATCTTCAGCCCCTCCCTTCCCTTCACCTTTCAATTTCCCAGGCCAGTAGTTCCTACCTCCTTAATATTCCGTGCCTTCTCTCTTTTCCATTCTCACGTGTCCCACCCTGGTTCAGGATGCCATAGTTCCTTGCTGGAATTACTCACTATGACAAGCACCCAAAGGTCTCCCAGCCCCCAAGCTTGTCACCCTCTATGTTATAGCATGATTTTTTTTTAATCCAAATCTGATCATGTCACTTCACTGGTAAAAATATTTGGCAATTCTCCAAAGCTTTAAGGATAAAGTTCAAACTCTTTAGTGTAAGCAAAATGTAAAGAGCAGACATTTTACCCACCTTGTTTGAGCAGGGTATGGAAGGTCCCAAGCCACAGGTAAGTCTACCACTACCCTCTTGTGGAGGTAGGAGAGAACAAGGAAGGGCGTCCTAAGTGGTTAGACCTCAGAATTGGGTTCTGCAGGGCCAAAGCTAGGGGGACGTGTCTCTCCTAGTAGGGTTGCAAAATAAAATATAGGCTGACCAGATAAATTTGAGTTTCAGAAAAACAATTAGTAATTTTTTAGTTTAAGTATGCTCTACACAATATTTGATTTTTTAAAGTTCAAATTTAACTGGGCATCCTATGTTTTTATTTGCTAAAACTGGCAACCTTATACCCCAGCACTGGGTATGGGGTGGAAGATGAGGGTGAGGGGACCTCCCAAGACGAGCAGTGGGAGAAATCTAAGGTCCAGTAGAAGGAAAAGGATGGTCAGTTAAATATGGCAGATTAACACAGGTCTGTCTCAACTCAGCAAAATCTCCAAAATGACAGAGAATAAAAAAGAAAATCCCTAAGTTATGAAAGAAATGGGAATAGGACATGACAGTAAATGGTAATACTTCAAAAAATTGGGGGAGATATAAAGCAATATATAAGGAGTAACTGAGAGCATATGGAGAAATCTTGTAGAGGGAGAAACTAAGCTGCCAAAATCTGGAGGCTCAGGAATTAGGGGCACCTGGGGCCTCAGAAGACATTAGGGTGGGAGGGATTAGTCTGTAGAAGAAGCACCCTCCCTGACCCAAACTCAGAGGAGTTGAGAGATTCCCTGCAGAATATGAGCAGGAGAGGCTCCAGGGTTAAGCGCATCAGGCACAGAAAAGAGTGGAAGAAGGAGCTGAAAACAGAGTAATTAACTAAAAGTCTACACAGTAAATGGTGAGATTCCCCACTCCCTCCCTTCTCCTGCTGGGTGTTCAGATCGCCAACATCCTAGCTTAAGGTGAAACACCACTGACATTTGCAGGCAGTTCACCAGGAAAATTAGCAAATTCCTAACTGGTCACTTTAGAATGCTACGCACCATCACCCAGCCCTGTCCATGCAGACAGATTGTCCGTTCAGCTTCCTAGTGACATATTCTCAGCCACGAACAGACAGCCGGAAATGGGTGATATTTAAGGAAAACCTCTTAAAATGGGAAAGAGACCACAAAATAAGCAGAAAAAGATAAAAGGTACTTGGAGAAAAGAAAGGCCTACAAGAAAATGTCAAGAAAACTGTAACTATTATTCTCAGAGAAATAAGAGAATATTTTGCATCAATGAAACAATAATGAAAGGCTATTTTAAAAAATATTCAAAACAAGAAATAGAAAATCAAAATATGATAACAGAAAGAAAACATTCAGTAAAATAATTGAGAGACAAAGTTAAAGAAACCTCAGAAAGTAGAACAAATGATCAAAGAAATGGATAATAGGATACAGGATGTAAAATCAGGGAAGCAGTTCAGAAGATCAGACATCTACCCAGTAGAAATTCCTGAAAGAGAGAAGAGAGAAAATGGAGAGGAGCAAATTAGCAAAGAAATAAAACAAGAAGATGAATCTCCATTTCTAAAAGGTCCA